TTCTCACTCTGCTCGCATATTCCGGGTCAGTGTAGTTGACCAGATTTCCAGGACAACATATCCTTCAAGTAGGCAAACAAAAATTGCGATCCAAAGAGTTATGAATAATTGCTGGAACAGTATCGTACCAGTTGCATATGATATCTGAATTACAACTATATTTAAAAGATACTTTACAAGAACAAAGTTGACAAAGTAGTTGACCGAATTTTAAGGACACGCATTACTTTCAAGTATGCAAATAGTAATTGCGATCATAAGAGTTCTGATTAATTACTGGAGCAGTATCGTACCAGTTGCATACGATATTCGAATTGCAACTATTTTCAAAAGATATTTTACAAGAAAAAAATTGACAAAGTGGTAGACCGGATGACCAGGCCACGCATAACTTTCTAGTATGCAAATAGGAATTGCGATCATAAGAGTTCTGATTAATTACTGGCGCAGTATCGTACCAGTTGCATGCGATATTCGAATTGCAACTATTTTGAAAAGATACTTTACAAGATAAAAATCGACAAAGTGGTAGACCAGATTACCAGGCCACCATATCCTTCAAGGAGGCAAAGAGAAATGGCGATCTGAAGAGTTCTCATTACTTGTTAGAGCAGTATCGTACTGGTTGCACATGATATTTTTTTTGGAAAAAATAGCATATGCAACACTCTGCCAATGGTTTAACATGTCCAGACTAATTTATTTTTATAGGATAATTTTCAAAAACGTAAATGTGAAGCGTTAAAAATTCTATTCATGTTGAGCGCTAGTTTTAGCCTATAGATCATAAATGAAGCAAATTTTCGAAAAAAGTGAGTTTTTGTGTTATTAGATTAACTCAGCGTTTGTCGTTACTCTTGATCCAGGATGCGCTGTAGCTATAGGGATCCTTGGTTGTGTATGCGATAGTTATGCTAATAATGCGTCTCGTGATCATCTTATTCAACGGTTGTTTATCTCAGCGGTCTTTCAAAATGAATATGATGATGAAATGAACTCAGAAAACGTAAAGACTTTTTATTCCATACATCAAAATAATCAAAATATTGTCTCCATCTGCGAATCTTTACAAATTCTTATCCCGTATACTATTTTATGTTTTCCTACAATTGTTGTATATTGTCAATACTTGCTATTCACATTGGATTGCTGAATGAACGTGAGACCCCATCGCTCCTATCATTCTGGTTCTTGATTAATTGGTTCTCAAGTTTAACTAACTCCGAAGATCCTATCCCAACTTATGTTAGATGATCGTATTTCTATATTTCTTTATATTTTTTATATTCAATGTGTCGCGCATCGAACAAGCAGCACAAACAGGTGTAAACCATTTTACAAATGATCGTTCAATTCTGTAAGGATAGAAGAGCTTTGCTCTAAAATAATCGACACCATTTGTTAATAAACAAAGGAGGTATAGTTCGCTTAAGTTTATGAGCTGTTGTTCAACACTTTAGTAAGTTATTGAAAAAAACATAGTCTGTGAATTGTAGCGAGGACTACACAATTGAGTAGATTTGAAATATTTTTTTAAATTACAGAAATTAATAAAAATTTAATTTTTTAATTATAAAGAAAAATCTTGTTAATAATTAGAACTAAATATTTATATAAAGATACTTATTGAAAAACTACATGATTAAGGAACTTAAGAAACAACTGAAATAAAAGTAAAAGACAACTGGCATAAAAACCCTTCTGGTTTAATAGGAAAATTACAGAAATACGAAAAAAAAAACAAGGTATTAAAGCTCACACATGTTTAACGTACTCTCAGATGTAATTTTACAGCACGCACGTTGCATTGTGGCTAAACAATGCTAGAAGATAATAGCAAACGTTGCAAGCGTCTTCTCTTGTTCACAAACACTATTTTGAACACGCTATAAATTTTGAGAGCTCTTACACACTTGCATTTAGAAGCCGACGTTCACCATTTAATGGGGAAGGTCATTATTAAGATCGATTATCAACAGAACTTATTATCGTCGATCAGACAAAGACTATGCAGAAGCTGGTCCGTACGCTGACAATATTTCAGAAGCATCGAACTTATTCTTCCAACTTCCGTTAAAAGCGCTCAATTTAAACAAACACACATGCATACACTTGATTGCGCAATCATAGTTAAGTTGCTGAATTTATGATTTGATTGTTGCGTGCGTAGGATAAATTCGTGTCAAATTTTCTCTCTCTCGATCTACCCTGTTACATTAGCGTAATTAAAATACACGGGCGTCAGCCTTTCGGCCACCGTTTCATTGGATCTATTTCTTTTGCGAAAATAAATTGCCTTTTTATTAAATATTTAGGCTTTCTATTTCAAACGGTCATTTCTTATTTCACTTTCCAGGTCATATTAGAATTGGCTTCTTTAATTTAGCAAGCGACGGCATTAAGCGTCGCACGAAGTGCCAGAGAAATTGACATACGGTCACGCTTTGACATACGTTTACGAATTGGGAAAGTGGGCATTACACTGAAGTTGGCGCGAGTGCACACTTGTGAGTTTGCTAAGAAGCTGAACTCAGATAATAGGGCGGCGGATAGCCTTGTTTCGAGAGACGATTAATCACCAATGAATAAATAACTATCACCCTGTTATATGTTCTTCTGACAAGATCGAACGCAAAATAATTCTAAATAAATTCCAAATAAATAAATCATTTTTTTTTATAATATGCAACGATTACCGAAAATCGTTAGACTCGCGCGAGGCAAATGAGCGGCTAAACGAGAGGAGCCGCGTTAGGTTCGCGAGAGAGAGAGAGCGCGTAGGGGCAATGACCGGAAGGGGAGGCTCCGACCGGCAGTATGACTGTGCCACTCAGTCTGTCAGCGTCGCGCTAACCTCCATTTCCAAGTTTTTCGTGCGTTTCCTGGTGACATTGCGAACTTGAGTGCGTGGGTGTGTTGGCAGCAGCAATAGCAGTAGCAGCAGCGATAGCAGCAGCAATATCGGCGGCAGCCCTAGCAGCAACAGCAATTGAGCGACAGCAGCAACAACAACAGCAGCAACAGCAATCGAGGCGGTGCAGCAAGTAGCGGAGCAGATTATTAGCAGCGTGTTAATCGGATACGGTTGGCCACCGTATCCTCATCGTTCTTGCGGTAGGTGCACCTTCTCCCTTTCAATTGTTGTTAATTTGCGAGCGATCCCGCGCAGCGTGCGCGAGGAAAATTAGTTGTTGCGTGCGAGCGGTTAGTTCGCGGAAATCGCGGTTTTCTCTCTCTCTCTCAATCTGCGTGTTGTCATTCGCGCAAGCGTGCGTAAGTCTCTCGGCCAAACCCTCGTGTAAATAAGTTGCAGAAATAAAGTGCATATTAATCGTTACATTCAAATCAAATAGTCGTTATTTAGTCTTTCCTTTGTCCGGAGGTCGCGTCAGTGTTTGTTTACAATAGATTCGAATTCGCCGGTTGTGTAGCACGAATCGTGCGAATACCGGTAGACGCGAATCGACAACTTAGGTTCCAGCGGCGGCCGCACGAGCGCTACTAGCAAGGGGCGACAGCGCCGCCAAGCGGTGAGTTGGGGGAACCCAACTCGGAATAGTAAGGAGACTCTGCGCAGGCGCACTCCGAGACAAGATAGGTTGCTGTGCTTCGAGCACAGAGATAACAAGGCGTCGTCTAGTCGTAATAAAGGCACTTTTAAGAGATTGTCGACTAAACGGCAGCCTGTTACAAATATCATTAAATATTTAATCATATTTCATATATAAAATAAACATTACAAATGAGTACTTATATTGAAAGTGATTATCGTAAAAAATACAATAACTATTACAAAATAATGTTTGTTTACAACAACGTTTATTGTTATTTTCATAAAAATTTGAGTAGGTTTTAAATAATATGATTTTTATTTCATATATATCGTATGTTTTATTTTCATACTTCTAGTGGTAACACTTTGTACGTGATTATTTTTTCAACAACTAAAATCAATCTATTTTTTGAAGTATCATCAAAATCAGTAATTTTTTATACTTTCAGATCTAAGATATAATGAAAAATAATATAGCTACGTTTATTTTAAATTGTTGTTATAACATTTGACATTATTAATTTATTGCAAATAAACTAAATTTGGGCAAATTAATTAAAGAGAGTTACTCAATTGGGCAAATGAAAAGCTATCGATTGATATATTTTTTAATTTCAATCAATTATACAGGCCAAAAGAGGTCTTAATCTGCGCTGCCTATCATATATATGCGTTTCAATCATGTGTTACGTCTCGTGCATCAACTACGAATAGCTAATGAATGAGACGTTCCAATATGTTGACTAGTGGTTAGATATGTCTCACTTATAATAAATGTATGTGGAAATGTAAATATGTATGTATGATAATTGCACTACTTTGTTAATCGTAGTTTTTAATTGTTGATAGAAATGCAGCAGGCTCTAACTGCTTGTTGAATTGTATTGGATAGGTCGTTGAATAATACTTGCACGATATTACTTTGTAACAGTCGCGAGTTTATTAAGTAAAGTAATCATCAATTGTCGGACCGGTGTGTACGGAGTTGAGTCTCACAGGTACTTATTGACTGACTGACGGACTACTAATCAACTGTCCCCACGAGTAATTTTGTTCATTCCTTTTTATATCTTTTACAGCTCTTTATAGCTCAGTATTGCAATATGGTGTGACATTTTGTTTTTGCTGAATATAAATTCTTGCGCTCGGTGACTTTATTTCGGAGTGTCATTTACCTCGCGTTTCGTCAGCTTTTTGCTGACGTGCGAGTAGTTTAGCAGCTTTGAATTTCATGAATGTGCATTTGTTACAAAAAGGATGCGTCGTAAGACGTAACACGTGTTTGCTTTTCGTAGTGACAAAACCTTAAGTTAAAACAGAATTTTATAGATGTTAGCTGTTTGTCGAGTATTGAAACTGTCTTAACAAAGGTCTATCATTTTAACTTGTAGACCATCATATAATTGATCTACATCAATCTAAGTACGAATGTTAGTTAGACCTGTAATAATATTTTTGAATTTTGATAATCTTGAGTTTTTTAAGAGAATGAAATGCTGTGTACACAAATAATTTTTATATTGCTTTTATACATCATTAGCAAAATTAATATATGAGTTGAATAAAATTGATCAGATGGATATTTTTCGATTTTGTAATCATAACCTGATATATTTACAATGTAATTAATCTGATATATTTACAATTTAATTAACCTGATATATTTACAATTTAATTATCCTGATATATTTACAATTAAAATATTTCTTTATAATTACTTCTAGCTAAATTGTGAACTTACAGAATAAAACTGAAATTTATTAACATGTTATGGGTATAACCTTTTGGGTATAATGTTGTATGAGACATTTTAGACATAATTATGAGTAAATTAACACTTAGAGGTAAGATGCTTTTTTAACATTTATTATATATGTTTTGTGATTGTTTTAAAAATAAAATCAATATTTTATTCTAGATAAGTCAGAGATTGAGGAATTTTCTGAGTCAGACACTTCAGGTTCTGAGTGGCAACCATCTGATTCCAGTAGTGATACAGAATTTTCTGTTTGATCCTCATATACAAAATGAACAGTGTCCAGTTTGAATTTAAAATTGCCAATGCCAATAAATGAATCTGAAAAAGACGTAGATCAAGCATCTCATTGAATTATCAAATGAGTCACTTATATCTGATGGAAAAAATTTAGAAACTCTTGTATCCACAAGTTCTTTTGAAGTATCGCCACATAAAAATGCTTCAAGCGACTTAGAAATTAACTGCAGTAGTTTTAATTCTTTTTTGATGGAAGACTCTCCTAGCAATACACTTCTTTCATTAGAATCTAATAAGCACCATGTAAAATCTAAAATTCTTAAGTCTAATGTTGTAGAACAATTCAGAAATCTTAATACGAATACATTAAGTGATCTAAAAATAAATGAAAAAAACAAGTTCTATCTTCTACGGAGAAAATTATTTCAAATGCAGAAGGACCAATCAATAAAAAATCATATAGTTTCTTCAGTCAATTTCAAAATAATTCTATGGAAAATTCAATTAATTCAATAAATAGTGATATGGATGGTAGCATCTTGCCTATTTTAAAAACTGCTAAAAACAATGATCACCAAAGATACTTAAGTTTGAATGCTAAAATATTAAAAAATGAAGTAAGGCAAAACCAGAAAAATAAATTTGCACCAAAAAAACAAATATTATCAAAAGTTGCAAGTTCAGTTGAAAAAAAATCTATAAAATTAATAACACATAAAAAACCAGTGATTAAATTAATAGATTTGTCAGTTAATTTGAAACGTATGGATGAAGCATTGATAAATAAAAGATTATGTATTTCTAAAACAACATTGAATGTAACTGAAAGTGATATTAGAATATTGCCTGATAAAGTTGATGGTAATTTTTAAAATAATGCCATAGAAGATTTCATTGGTGGTGATATAGATGATAGTATCCAGCCTAATTTTATAACTGCTAGAGAGAATGATCTTAAAACATGTACAAGATCAGATATTCGATCAAAAAATAAAGTAAGTAAAAATCAGAAAAATAAATGTGTACCAGAAAAACTAAAAGTCAAAAGTTCTACACTAAATAAAGAGCCAGTAGTTGAATTCAATGCCTCAGCCAATAGCAGTTTAGATTTGTCAGTAAATTTGAAAGGTGTGGGAGAAGTATTAAAAAGTAAAAAACATTTATTAGTATTAACAAGCTCGGATGGTATTAAAAGAAATTGTTGTTTATACTGTGTTTTAAAATGCATTTCAACTAAGGATCTCCAAATAAAAGTTTTGTACGCAAATCTTGTAGATCACTATGAAGTTGCTCATTCAGATGAAAAATTAGTTAAACTATTGGTTAAAATTAAAAAAGCACCATTCATTAAGGGTAAACCAAGATCAGAAAAACAAAGGGAAAGGATAAAGATTCTTGATTATTTACGAAATAAAGCTAATTATCTCAATAATTTACGAGGTGTGATCAAAAAGTAAGGTGAATTTTGAAATTTAGCGGGCTACGTCCGTTCGATCTTCGACTTTTTTATTTGGTTATGTCGGTACACTCGTCTAGAACATACGTTCCAAATTTCAGCTTTGTAGTATGTTTGGTGTGTTTGTGAGAGGCATCAAGGTTAGAAGTGTTTTGCGTGCTCCACGATTTGCTGCTGTCTAAAAACATGGATCAAAGAGTTTGCATTAAATTTTGTGTGAAAAATGGAATCAAATCTTCCAAAACACTTGAAATGCTGAAAATGGCATACGGTGAGTCTACTTTAAGCCAAAAAAATGTTTACAAGTGGTATAAACTCTTCCAAGAAGGCCGAGAAGACACCGACGACGAACCTCGTTCTGGACGCCCCAGCACATCAACAACTGATGAGAATGTTGAAGAAGTGAAGAAAATAGTGTTGGGAAATTGTCGAATTACCATTAGAGAAATTGCTGATGATATTGGCATCTCATTTGGTTCGTGCCAATCAATTTTGACGAGTGTTTTAGACATGAGACGTGTGTCAGCGAAGTTTGTTCCGAAATTGCTCAATTTCGACCAAAAGAAACGTCGCATGAGCATCGCCCAAGAGCTACTGAATGACGTCAACGATGATCCAGATTTACTCATCAGGGTTATAACAGGTGACGAAACATGGGTATACGGTTATGACGTCGAGACTAAGACTCAATCGTCCCAGTGGAGGCATTCTGGATCACCAAGACCAAAAAAAGCACGCCAAGTTCGATCAAATGTAAAGGTTTTGCTTACAGTTTTCTTTGACTGCAGGGGTGTGGTGCATCATGAGTTCTTGCCACAGGGTAGAACAGTAAATAAGGAATATTACCTGCAAGTTATGCGCAATTTGCGCGAAGCAATCCGCCAGAAACGTCCGAATTTGTGGAAAAATAAAATTGGCTTTTGCACCATGATAACGCCCCTGCTCACACATCGTTGCTTGTGCGCGAATTTTTGGCTAAAACCAACACAGTAACGATGCCACAGGCACCGTATTCCCCAGATCTGGCCCCCTGTGACTTCTTCTTGTTCCCAAAACTGAAGAGGCCCATGAAAGGACGGCGTTTTGCCACGATTGAGGAGATAAAGACGGCATCGAAGGATGAACTAAACAAGATCACAAAAAATGATTTTTTGAAATGCTTTGAGGATTGGAAAAAGCTTTGGCACAAGTGCATTATATTCGAAGGGGATTACTTTGAAGGAGATAAAATAAAAATTGATGAATAAATAAATATTTTTTGAGAAAAATAAAAATTCACCTTACTTTTTGATCACACCTCGTATGTGCAAATAAAGTATCTAAGTATGTAGTTTGCAGAAGACCATCAAAGCTAGGTAATAATGTTGCCCATTATGGGACATGTTTTCACTATTACAAACAACTCTCCTTAAATTCAATACACAAGCATGTGAAGCAGTGCACAGGAATCTCATTTGTTAAAAAACATATTGTAAAATCAAATTCAAGAGCTGTTATGGGCGATTACCATGAATCTGCTTCGGAGGACGCAATGAAAATTATCTCTCATGTAAGAGAAAGTGATGAATTGGACCAAATTAGATACGATAAAGTTTTATTTTTATGGCTCAATGCTGAAGCATCTCGATGTGCAAAAACACCACATAATCATGATAGAATTATAACTGGAGTGAGGAGACTGGGTACACTTTTAAGAGAAATGAAAATATTAAATGAAAATATAAATGAGTTAGCAGATATCTTTCATGAGGACAATTATGATATGTTCATTGTAGCTGTTAAAATCACGTGTAAAATGGATTCGGTTACCAAAGAAATTAAAGCACCATCAACAGGAACTGATATGTATAATTTAATTAAAGCAGTAATAAGTATATATGATGTTATGCTTGGTGAAAGTAATAAAGTCAAAAGACAAGAAATTCAAGCATTCGAAAAAAAAATGATCAGACTATGGCACAGTAGTATTGGTAATACAATTGCTGAACAAATAGCAGAAAATCAAAGACTTAAAGTAGACAAACTACCTTCTCAACAAAATATATCAAGTCTTCGAAAGTATCTAGAAACTGAAATGGTTATAGCTTATGATAATTTGAAAGAGAAATACACAGATGAAAATTATGAAAATATGAGAGATCTTCTAGGATGTTATTTGCAGATTATAAATGTACGGCGAGCTGGTGAGATTGAACGGTTCAAAATGAGTGAAATGACGCATATTAAATGTAATGGCAATTACTGCAGAGTAGCAGTTCGTGGAAAGAGAACCAAGGCTGTGCCAATAGTTTTTAGTAAAGTGGAATATAAGTATTTGTTACTGCTTATAAAAATGAGATTTGAAGCTAAAATTTCAAAGGACAACCCTTTTGTTTTTGCAAATATTCATGATTTGAATAACCAGTTTACAAGTATTAAGTTGAGTTATCTAATGGCTAAGTTTGCTAATTTATGTAATGCAGCAGAGCCTTCAACTCTAAGAGGTACTAATTTTCGCAAACAAATAGCTACTGATAGAGAACGTAGAGGTATAGATAATAAAGGATTAGAAGATTTGTCATCTTTTATGGGACATACTCCTAAAATTCATTGCCAGAACTATCGTCAAGCTATTTTTGAAAGAGATATATTCGTTAATAGACTTGTGAAAGAATCTCAATCTAGAGAAAAATCTTCTTCACCTACGAATGATTCGAGTGAGATAATTGCTAATGAACAAGAAACGTCGATACAAGAGCCTATCTCAGATGACCACAGTCATTCAACTATACAGCTAGACTATTTCTCTACTATTGACTCAGGTATAGCCAACATTTCAAAATGTTTTTTTTTTCTTTAATCTTTAACCATTAATTTGTTGACATGACAACTTTATTTTCGATACTATATGTACAGGTTGGATTATTTTTGATGACAAATTTAAATGCTAATTTAAAAATCAAATTTTCATATATTATTTTCAATTTAATACAAAAAATTACTATTTTTTACTAAAAATAATTCAAATAGATTTTAATATTATTTGTAACGGGGGGAATAAACCTGCAAAATGAGAAATTTATTTAAGAGCAAACTCCCACGATGCAGAGCAAACCGCCGCTCCGTTAACACGTATGTTAATACGTGTATTCGCCTTAACGTCAGCTGACTTAACTTGGTTGTCTTCGATCAAGCGGAGTTGAACTCACCTTAAGTCACGTGCCCTGTGACACACGATGAGTTTTAAGTGTAATCGACTTTGCTCCTAATCCACTTAATCCCCTAGCTATGATCAGATTAAAACTTAAGCCTATTTCAATTGTTTAATCTATTAGGAAAAATTATATGACGAAATCAGCGAATAATTTTAGTAGATTTTATTAATAAAAAATTACTACAGTCTTTGTCGGGCCGAAAGACTGACGCACGCGAACAGGATTTACAATTTAATAACTTTCGGTGAGAAAGAGAGAGAGAGAGAGAGAAGATACGAAAATTGGCGCGATCTAACGCTCGGCGCGAATACAAAATTATCAACGCTAACGCGGCTGAGCAAAATAATAAATATATTTTGACACGCGATAATAAAGGGAGGTGCACCTACCCTGCGGTGCAATTACGGTGATCAGCCGTAATTGTTGATGTCAGCAAAATATCAACTGCCTCCGGTCCTAGGTTATCAGCTGTGCTGCCTCGTACAACCTATCAGCTGCAAATCTGCTGCTACCAAAACGCTGCAATCTGTAGGTCTCGTTGTTGCACTCACGCGCATAATTATTATGGACCAGTAACTATTACTCGGCGAGAAAAACTGTGCAAATAAAAATCGGCGATGCTCGTTCGAATACAGCTGAAGCGTAACTGCTAATTTGAAAGATCGCGCGCCCCCTCTCTCTCTGAATTCCTAGAACTAACGCGCGAAAATCAGAATCGCGAACGGTTCGATTAATTGAATCGACTACCGTTGCAGCCCCCTCCAAGTCCTGACTACCTGGGCAGGACGAATATCCGCGATTCGTTGCCATCAGGAACCTGAAAGTCATAAAGAAGGAAAGGAAACAAAATAAACACTCCCTTCTTTATTTCGGCTAATTTATTTGCCCTCCAGGGCCTACATCATTGTTTGGCTACACCTGGCGCGCAATGTTCCGGGTAGCGCCAGTGTGTAGCCTTCTTCGGGCACCGCTGGGAGTTGGTCACCCCAGGCTCTCCACAGATGTAGCAGCCCCTCAGCTGCGACCGAGATTGAGCAGCCTCCCGACCTTGTGATGGCTGCTCAGCAGCCAGAGGGAACTGCTGGGCACTGACTCCCTGTGAGGCGGTGATGGTCACGCCTCCCACCGTGGCGGTCGTACGTCCATCCTTCGACCTGACCACGATGGTGGTATCAGGAGCCATGCGCCCGTCCACATGGACCGTGAGCGTCGGTCCAGCGTCAGTAGCTCCCGGGGCTCTCTTCTCTTGAGCCGGCGCCGGGAGCGCTGCGGAGGACTCTTGTCCGTTATCCACCCGCAGCAGGGCCTCTCCATAGGCCCTCTGACGCTGAGCCATCCCTACCCACTCCCCGAGCAACTCTTCTGCGCCCTGGCGGCTCAAAAAGCGTCTCAGGTGCTCCTGCACCTGAGACTGGAGTTCTTGAGTGAACCGCCACGCACTCCCCACCTCGTTGATCCCCAGACGCACGTGTCTGAAGTCGAGGAGGAGAGTAGGCTGCTCAGGGATCCGGGGATGATTGCAGACCCAGTGCGAGGCCCCACAGGTTTCCCTGGGTCCTGGGCATTGGCTCGCACTGTCCGACGCAAGGGTTACGCCGGACTTGAGGGTCTGCACCCCCTGGTCCATTGTAGACTTGGGACGTTCGACACTGTCCTGGTCCTCGGTCTGTGTCGAAGCGTCCCGAGAAGCCTTCTTCGGGGCGACCCACGACGAATCC